TCGAATGAATTGAAATAACCTCATTTTATGACAATTCCCGCAGGGAAGATTCCTTGGTGGGGGCCTGAGATCGACCATTTGTTTGGCGAAGTTTTGGGTTCATACATTTGCAGTAAGAAAAGATGTTTGGAGGTTTGATACGCTTGCAGTGTGCATACACCTGGGAATTGTGTGGTGGATTTGCACTTTCATGGACGCCTTGAGCGAGCAGACGGCCGGTGAAGGATCTCCAAATTGGCTAAACAAACAAACGTGTATGTGTATTTAACTGATATAATAGCGTGCTCAGAATTCTTCCACAAGCCTGCTATTGCCAGGATGCTGCATGGTAACATGGCTCTGGCTCATTCAGGCTCATTAACTGTTTAACGCATAAAAGACCGGCTCAATCTGCCTGATATTGAGCAACACAGGATTGAGCAAGTGCAAGGATATGCGATCATGCGCCGAGGAATCCGTGCAAGAGCTGGAAGGTCACTCTTTGCTGCTGAGGCGAAATGGGTCAAGAGTTAGGTGCACTCTAGGCCACAAGCTTAAAGCAGCAGCTTTATAAGGTATGAAGGTATGTATAGGTATGTGTACTTCTGTATCTACACATGTGTTTGAAAGCAAGGGTTAACTTGCATCAAGGAGTGCATCATGAGTCATGCCCGACCAAGAGCCGCATTGCAATGTCGACTTGGCGTTCGACCACAGGCGGTTCGGGTCAGGCCTCCTTCAGGCGGATGGACCCAAACAGCGGACTGAAGAACAAAGGTGTCAGCGACAGAAAGGAGAACCCAGGTGCAGGAGTCCCCCCAAAAAAGTGTCGAGACAAGCGGTACACCTGGAAATTGAATTTACTTCAACGCCTTGGGACTCAAAACAATACTGTAATAATATAAGCTTGACACCGACTCTACTTGGAGTCTTGACATGTGAAAACAGTGAAAGAAAGCAGAAACACAATCCTGAAATCGTTTTCAGCAGTAGAGCCGGTGCATCATCGTCATCATTATCATGTTTTGAGGGAGTTGACTGACTCAACGCCTTCTTTGACCAACTCACACAGGTCACAGGCAATGCACTGCTCATCTTCAAGGAGTCAGGCCTGCCTGCAAGATCTGAGGCATCTAGACAGAGTCGTTTTTTGCCGCAGGTGCATACAATAGATTGTTATTTACCATCATTTACCTATCCAATTGTTGAACCTGTTTCCCAAATAATTACTGTTGTTTGGTCAAATGTGTGTGCTCCTTTCGCTTGGTGCACGACAGGGTCTTGTGGACACTGGAATGAGCGTCTTGGAAAGCAAACATGCTTTGCAATGCAATTGATTTAGTTTTACGATGAAATGCTTTTCGGTCGGTCACATCGGTCGGTAGGTATAGGTAGGTTATTGTTCAAACGATGAGTCTGTCCTCGAAGACCAACCGTCTGATAGGGGTCCCATGGGGTCCCTTTGCAGAACGTGTTTTGCAATCCAGAGTCGGCAATGGGAAGGCAACCTGAAAACACTTTCTTGAAGGATAAGCCTGATCTTCACTGGAAATGGGACACCGATACTGAGTGTGTTGTTGATGAGTTTGCTTTCTTGATACTTGGATTGGATATCATTGGATTAGTAAAGGTATGCACATTAGTTCCAAAGTTTGGGGCACCAATAGGTGAGCAGAGGATACTCATACATATTATATATATAATATGTCATGCCAATAAAAAAAAAACACATTTCAGTAGTATATAGTGGCTAGGGAATGCTGGGGACCCTGTTCGGGGCAAACTCTTGCTTGTCAAACACATAATAAGTTAAAACCTATAACAATAAATGTTAAACAGTTTCAATGGTGTCTACTTTTTTGGAAAGCATTCAGTAGACAATGTATATAATTCATACAGTATACTGTATATGAACTAAAAAGAACACATCGAACAATAGCAACAACAGCAGGACACTAGAGACTAGACTTAGAGATTAGTGGACGTATGAAATGTGAGCGACCCTCACTCGAGGGAACCCATTAAAGAGAGACGCCTGAGTAAAACATGCAGAGGTATCCAAACGTACCAGACCACACGGAATCGTACATGGTTCCAGAGTGGGTCCAAATGTGTACCAGACTAGACCAGAAGGAATGGCACATGGATGGTTCCAAAATAATTGCAGGTAAGTGCATGGGGCATCCCCCTACACCTGCCAGACTGCATAGGTACGGTTTGCAGTCTGGCGTCGTACCCCCCTCCAAAAACCTGAAAACATTGGAAGGATCCCATGAATCCAGGGTTTGCACACAATCAAATTATATAAGCGTAATTATGAGATGTTGAACTATGTTTAACCCAAATTTCCATGGGTTATCAGGGTGTCCTGCTTAGATTTCTACCCCACAATCATAACGACCTGGAAACTCGCTACAGGCTTTGGTGAACATCCTTGATCAAACCTATCAGCTATTGCCCAAAAGCAACCTCAAGGGCCCCGGCTGCCGTAAATCATCCCTGTCCCAGAACATCAAGGGAGGTTCTTTTGCTTCGTAAATTTTGTTCATGTTGATGTTGATGTCATTCCTTTCTCAATCCGTGATGTTAACATATTTTAACACAATTATGCCAGCATAGACCCCAGATAGCAATCGAATCATTGCATTGAAGCTGTCGCGCTTTTTCACTCACGTTTCACACACTCCTGAAATCATCACATGGACCAAAATAAAAAACGATCCAGCACCGGCACCACCACCTGCACCAGCACGCTCACACAAAACGCCGATCCAGCAGCACCTGCACCAGCACCAGCACGCCCCAAGAAAACGCCGATCCAGCACCCGCACCAGCACCCAGCACCCGCACCAGCACCTGCATCAGCACGCCCAAACAAAACGGCGATCAAGCACCAGCACTACCACGGGCAAAACACAAAGCCGATCCCGAGCCACACCGTTGAGAAGTAGAAACCCTTATACCTTGCAGCTATTTGGGGAACAAACATCATAAGTGCATAGATTCTTTTGACGGGAAGGCGACAGAATCCAAAAACATCTCACCAGCAAACATCGTATCAAGCATCACCCCGAAACGGCTCACAAAGGATCACCAAGAACATCCCCCTAGAAGGCAATATGCACAAAATAGAACTCAGGACCCAATAAACTAGAGCTAAAATGCCAAAACCTGTCAAAGTCAAGGTACTGTAAATTCTTTGCTTCCCTTTCAGTTCCTGTTCACCAACTCCCAACTCCTATGTCCGCAACCCCAAATCAAGAAATATGATTTCTGATTCACATTCATTTCCTTTTCACTGATTGCCAACTCGTATTTTCACAATCCCAAACACAAAACATCCTCGCTTGGTCCTGGTTTACCAACTATTTAATGACATGCGTGGGGAGGGTTGGTAGTGGTCAACTCGGTGACTCCGATTCCAAGATTTTGCCAGCGCATCCCATCACTTTGTTTGATTTACAGTGGCAGCCTTGGTGAATCATTTGAGGCCGCAGGTCTTTGATTCTTGCGTCCTTCAAGATCGACCAGTGCTTTTTTGGATGTTTTTTGTTTGTTCTATTGTTTCCTTCACTTTGGGTGTGTTTATTCGACCAGGCATCATCAAGAGGCTTTGCAGCCTTTCTGCAGTCACGCCGCCTGTCAAGGAGGACAGGGCGATGGGTGACTCTGCGATGCGGAAGAACTGTATTTCGTTGGGAATCATAAGCATTCCAACCTGCAGCAGAGCGATTGAGATCATTTCAGAGCGAAGCTGCCGGAATTCATGGCAGGTGGGCGATTGGACCAGGTTCTTTGCTTCGTCTCGGCGGGCACTGTGTTGATGCGGAAAGAGGCAGAGTGAGCCAGTTCTGACTAGCTGGGAATGTCCGTCAGGTCATACAATACGGTGACGGTCACGGTGGGAATCCTATAACAGAGTTGATTCCAACATCCCAAGTGGGCTGTGACCTGGAGTTCTGTAGATGCATAGGCGAAGGGGACTGCAAGTCCCGTCAAACTGAATCCTGACAGACCTGCACAACAGTCAACACTTGTTTTGTTGGCATACTTCCAAATATTCAAGATTAATTGGCAAAGGCTCTTTGACTCTTTGTGTAGACTATACATATAAGTATATATATGATGCATTTGGTTCACTCACTATTTCATACCAAGGTCATACAGAGTCATCCTGCGAGATTGCTCGATCCTGTTGGCGCGTTGGATCCCGTTGCACTCAGTTTCAGGTGAGCTTTGGTGAGCACTTCGAATGTGAAGTCTCGAGTAGCCTCAAAGCGCTTGAAGAGCAGGTGCTGTCAGGAATCGGGAGAGCAGATGACGGATGTAAGCATCCCACATATGCTTGACGACCTCTTGTCACAAATTTAAGTTTCCCTAAAAATCTAGGAGCCAAATGAACAGTGCAAACGCTTCTTCAAGGAAGCTCCCCCCAGCCCTCAGGCGGGGGGAGCTTCCTTGAAGAAGCGTGAGCTATCCGCGTCCATGCCAGTAGCCTACCTAGCTTCTACTAGTTATATACCTAGCTACTACCTCTACGGCCTACTACGGCCTACCCTCCCCCCGGCTAAAAAAAAGAGGGATGATTAGTGTTTTTCGTCTGGTCCTCGTTGCACTTACGGTCACAGCCTAGCAGATTTGTTTGCCGTGCCACAGCTGTTTCTGAATCCGGTTGCTGTTTATTTGCACAGAAGACGGACAGACATGTCATGAGATTGTAGACGTGTTGTTAGCTTGAACACATGGTTCTTCGCCACTTAAACACAGCATGCAGAAGGGTCCCCGTTTGATTTGCTTTTTCCCCAAACTCTACTTAAGGGGTCGTTTGGCGACAGACTGGACCACCCGAATCCACCTGAGACATGCGAGTCAATGAGAGCCATGTGTCCCCTTCTATAGGAACATCATGTCCACAATGTCGTGGTTGTTGGACTACGCAGGTTTCTTCCTTGAGTGCGACTTCCACTCCACCCTCCTCCTTGTGCCTGCCCAAGACACAAGGGACGCAGATTGGAGAAGCCACATATCGCCACACGAAAGGATCACCTACTGTGACAACCTACAGTACTAAGATCATTACGACTCTGACTATCTAAGTTGTCATTTAAAAATTGCTTGGAAAACATTTGGTTGTCAGCACAACGGCTACCTGCAACGTGGTCACCGCAGCTTTTGAGCTTGCGTCATTTGTGACAGCGTGTCTTGCCAGGGCTTCCTCCTGTGAAGACGTACTAAGGCCAGGCATGGCAAATGCGAAGTTGATAGTGCCAGCAACATTTGTGCTGCTTGCCTTCTACTTCGGCACATGGCGTCTTCGGCAAATGTTCTGGCTCAGCCAGTGGCTCATGCTTGAAGCAAATCTCTACATGAAACCATGGCCATCAGCACATCCCTTCTTCTCGATGATCGCTCGACTTGAATGGCATGCTCCTGATCGGCCAGCAGTTGTGCCTCCCCTGCACGAGTTCAATGCCTCTGATTTTGACGCCAGCAAGGCCTATGACATCGCCAAAGGGAACACCGAGGTTCTTGTTGTTCGTGGGCTGTTCGATGATGCACCCTCCCGTTCCTGGGGAAATGAGGAGTTCGTCCGCAAGTATGGACGGACGAAGATGGTGATCAACAATGGAACAGGTGCAAACTCCATGTCCCACAGGCACCAGGAGTTCTACAAAATCGTCGACTCCAACCTCCAGACTCTTGATGAATCCATCCACCGCGGGGATTCAGTGGTCAGCTACGGCATCGATGAGATTTTCACACAAAATCCCGAACTAGCTGATGAGGTGGACGTGGATCGTCTTGGACGCGGCAATCATAGGCAGGCTTGCAGACAGCTGGGGATGCTTTATGGCCGTGCCAGGGCTGGGCAAGCAGGAGGCCTCATGTATCACAATGCCATCTCAAGCAATTATCTCATGCATCTTGACAGTGCCAAACAAGGGCCGTACGAGATGTCAAACTCGGCCCCCCAGTGCCTACCCAGAGGTCCCAACAGTGTTTGAGACGCACCGTAGAGTCTCAACCACCTTTCCAACAAAGCATACCAATATTTCCCACTATTTCCATCTATTTCCCCACATCCCTAGTTAGAAAAGAACTGCGTGTTCTTTTAGATGCCTTCGCAAACATGTCGGTTCCTGTAAATCAGGTATGTCCGCGAAAGCTTGCAAAAGTGTCTTCAAAGGCAAAGAAACACACATGACGGTGGCCAGATTTGCATGTGGAGGTGTAAGCTGAAGTGTCGCATTGTTTTTCTCATTGAGGTGACATGAGGTGACTGTTCCAGTGAAAAATACGTGATGCACCCCCTAAGCTTCTTCAGAACCCACTAGAATAGTGTTTTTGTCTTACTATATGGGTTTGTCTGGTCTTTTTTAACGTGTCCAGTTTATGTAGGGCTGGGATGTTCGAATTAAGACTTAAGCGAAGCATACCCCCCCAAAGCATTCCCTCTGAAACGCTACTACTTTAGTCTTCACACTGTGTGAAGCATACCCCCGAAGCATCCCCGAAGCATAAAAAGTAAAAATACAGCCCCATATAAATCAAACGGAATTTGTGCGGTAAGAAAGAGGTGCGGCAAAAAGGTGGCTATTTGCATGGATATATGGGTTGTTCGATTGTTCCTACCCGGACCCCTGCCTGGATCAAGGCAAGTCTCTGGCTACAAGCTCGTGCGGCTGGTGTCCAATGCGTACTCTTTGTACTTCTTCCCTGTTTCCGGTGGCGAATTCGACTCCGGCTTCATTGCTTCAGCGAAGTGGGATGATTTGGAAGAGCTGCCCACCTTGGATGTGGTGCTTGGACCTGGCGATGTGTTGCTCTTTCCACCTTGGCTTTGGCATTCGACCAAGACGGTGGATCCTCCCAGCATTCAACCAATTCCCACCGGTCAGACTGACCGACATGCCAATCTCAGCATAGGCATCACATGCCGATTTCCCACTCCAACCGCTGCAGTGAAGAACGACCTTATGCTCTCTCTCTTCCGGACAGTTGGGGGAAAGCACGGAATCCCTAGTGGATCCTCCAAGTGGGCCAGGTTTGTGCCTTTGTACAGTCAGTTCTTGGACTATGTTAACGAAGTCCGTGGCACCATGCCACCCTGGGATGACACCAATGACTGCTGGTCTAGCAAGCGTACAGCTTGTCGCAAGCAGGGAGTCAACCAGTGAGTATGTGATTTTTCTCCCGCCGTTGTGTCCCGGTCCAAATGTAACCAATCGGCCTTACGATCTTACTGTAAGGCCAGAGCTAGAGAGGCCGGATTGCGATGCCTTACAACAAAAGAACAATGCAAACAGGATCAAACAATATCAACCTGTTTAACAATCTGGCATTTGAAAGACTCGATAAAGCATGACCAGGGGACTGAAAACGGCTGTTCTAACATAGCAGCAGCAGCAGTTGCGTCATCGGAGATGCTCAACCGCTAGCCGCCTTGCCAGGAGATGCCGAGAAGCTTTGCGGCATAGATTGGGAACTGTTGCGCAAGAAGTGTTTAATTGACGCGCAGAAAAGTCAAAGCAACAGCCACGAGCGTTTCGGAAAAGTAGACTCGACCCCCAAGCCCGGTCGCGAAATTCTTGATCGATGTGACACACGCAGGTCTTTTTTGATTCGACTCACAGGGTCCACTTCTTCACTTCTCCGAGAAGAGCAGAATGCGAGCATCAGGTCGGTTGATATGCCCTTGCTGAGGTTGATGTTTCTTCCGAGTCTCGGTCAGGTTTTGTTTTCTAATTACAAGCTTCTTGTTACTACTAGTAAGGCACTTGTTGCTAGAAGCGATGCACTTGTTTCACTTGTTCCTAGTAGCTTATTGTTTCTACTAGCTTCTTGTTACTAGTAGTAAGGCCTTGTTCCTAGTAGCGATGCCCTTTGCAAAAAGCATGCAAAAGGATGCAAAAGGCGCTTTTACAAATGTCCAGATCCGACATCGATGACTCCAGCGACGCAAGTCCTGTAGCATCCAAGCTTGCTGTTTCCGCTGCTCCTCCCTTCAGGTCTGCGCAGCCATCTGTCTTTGCTGCCCTGTGGCTGTCGAACGCCGGGCCCCCAGAGATTGGATCGAAGCAGGACGCGCAACATCAAGTTGCCCATAGAAGGAATAGAAAAGGCACAACTTACATCAACTTAATCAAGTAACAAGTAATTTGAAAGGACTTGACCGGGCGTTGGAGGATGTAGGAGGGGGAGATCCGAGTGCGAGATTCAACACCTTATGAACTATATGTTACTTTGGCAGTCCAAAACATCCATTTAGTATACTACTAGGAGCAAGGACGCTACTAGGGGCTCCTGGCATCGCTACTGGCAACAAGAAGCTAGTTTCATCTTGATTCTAAAGACTTTCGAAGGACGAGGTGTTTACAGGCATCAACTGTGGCTTTGGGGGCTCAGATGGGCATCAAAGTTCATCAGAGCAGTTTTTGCATGTTTTTGCCGTTTGAGGATATTTTGGCGCTGGACGATCACCTGAATGTGGTGGGTCCCAGCGACCACGGTTGCGTCCAATGGCGCTTCTTGCAGCAAGGCATTTGCAAAGCCGTGGAAATATGATGCATGGCAATGGGCGTTGTTGACACACCCGGTGCATTGTGTCAACATGCCAACACATCGTATTGGTGTTCTGTCATACTCATACACCTTTGTGCAACAAACATCGAAACATGTGCAAGGGTCCAATGCTGCCCTGATAGTATGTTGATGTATGCTGTAGTAATGTGACAGGTATCATGTTTGATCATTTTTGGCTTTGTCACTGAGCTTCGACCATGTGGAAGCACATGGAAACTCATTGAAACTGTGGTCTTCGACTGATTGGCCATTGGCAATTCCCGCCCTTGCGTCGCCCAGGTGTTTTTCGTGTTTTCTCCCCTTAGGGATGCCTACCACGTGGAACAAAGATGAAAAATGTAGGCTCTAGTCTTAGTGCACATTAGAGAATGCCTGTAGTTGTTCTCAACAGTTTGCTTGCGACGTGAATGAGGCTCCCCTGCCCGGCACTTGCTCACCAAAGAAGCACGTGTCCCTCACATGATGGTATCTATCACATAACGGGGCCACAACCTTTGAGGTCCCACAAACATGCATCATTCCTTTCAGTCTGAGGAGCTTCACCGCTTTTCTTGGACGTCAAGAATTTGTGCCATGCAGAGGGCTGAGCATTGATGGTGTCATGCGGCAATCACCATGGCAAATATTGGTACCAAAACGTTCCTTATGTTTTCTGTTCAATGCTGCTGTATGATCAATCTGTATAAAGTCATTTGGGCCTAAAGGCCTAAAGCTTGGTTCCAGCGACGCAACGCAACATTGTGTCGGCAAAGCAGCTTTGTTGCGTGCATGTTCACTGTGCTCGATGAAAGTATAGATGTTGTTGCTTGGGCGTAGACCATGTTTTGGGATGTTTTTTGTTTGTGTTTAATTTAGTCCGAAGATTGAGGGCACATTTTTGGAGCTATTCGTCCAATGTGACCAAGAACATCACACAAACAGATCAAAACAGGCTACATGTTCCAGTGAATTGAACAACGTTGGTAACGTTACCGCGTGCATGCGCGCGCTTATTCGTGTCGTTCGTCAGATCGCAATGAGTCCACAGGCACTGTTGGAGCGATACCAGCAGAGGCCTGGGGGTGTTGGCCAGGGAGCACATGACATGTGCTTCAAGTTATTGGCAGTGGTTTGTTTCTCAGTGGTTGTTTTTTGCAAAACCAGTCGGGCATTCGCACACTTTGTTTATGCATACCGGTTGTTCCGTGTATAGTAAAGTCGTGTTAAGGTCACGCGTGAAATTTGCATGATCAAATGTTTCCTGAGCACTTAGTAGTGCCTTCAGAGCCACTAGGGAGAGCGTGACACCGAATACACGACTTTGCAATGTTTCGCATTGGGTTAAGTTTTCAACTTGTGCAATCTTTCTCAACAATTCTTCATGTATGTGTCGTGGATTCCATGGATGCCTATACATAGGCGATGCATCTTCGCATGCTTACATAATCGATCACTTGTTAGAACAGAGTGGGGTGGGTGGGTGCGGGGCGGGAATGCGAGACATTGCGAGACAGGTGATGCGAGTTCCACCCAACCCACTTGCATTGACTTGCGCACGCTTTTGACTTACTTGCTGCCGGGAGGATGACATCCGACCCGAAAGGTGTAATCAAGGGGCGGGATGCCCAAAACTCATTGCACGCTTCCATCCCCTCATGTTCACGTGTAGCTACTCACTTGCGCACGTCGTAACGAAGAAGGTATCATCCCTAAACGATTCTAATCATATTTATGTATATATGTATTATATACTATACGACATATATTACAAGACAAAGACAAACATGGTCAATGGGTGTCAATGGCTGGTAATCTGTGGGACTTCATTGTATCAAATGGAGCAGGGACAAAGACACATGGAAAGACGCGCTGAGTGTGTGGCAGTGGCAAAGGAAAGGAGTCTTGAGGCCACAGGGAACTCCCGGCACCGTTTCCTTGATTTTTTTTACACGAATCTTGGAAGCGACGCAGCAACTCCACTTGCAAGAGTGAGGTTGGACTTTAGCTGCCGCCTCTGTCGAAGGACATTTGCTGGTGTGGAGGTCCGACGGCTCACGTTGGGGCCTCAGAAAAAGCGCCGGACACGGTGGCGAGTTGTGTGTCTTTTCAATTATGTTCACTGGTCTTCTCACTCATGTCATGTTCAAAAGATTACACCATAATTAAAACAACAACATTTGTATTACAATAGATAGGCTATAACAGGCTGTTCAGCAGCCAGCACGTGTTGTACAAGCACACAAGATGGTTGGCCAACGGTTAATGCATGCACTGGGACTGGACACGGCACGTGTATGTACATATAATATGTAACTATATCATGTAGCAGTATCAGATACCGATACCTGCTAATAGCTGAAATCCAAAAAGTTGACAAACATGCAATGTGGTTTACAATGTTTTTCTTCCGTAGTGTTTCCGTATACCGTATGTCTATCACCGCTTATCACCCGTTTGACAGTGTTTATACATCTATATAATAAACGTCCATAGATCCACGAGGTAGATCCAGTCAGCTGGGCTCAAGACAGTCCAACCATTGTTTCACCATTTGCAAACCTTGAAGCCAAACTCCAAAACTCCTCTCAGCTGCGAAGATGCACACCTGGCTTTTCTTTTGTTTCTTGCTCTCTCTCTCTCTCTCTCTATCCCTTCCTCTCACCTTGCCAGCTCATGTGAGGCGCAAGATATAGTTGTTTTCAGGGATGTAACAACTTTGCTCAGATGCCCAAAACAACATTTGTGGTTTCCGGCTGGTTGACAGACCTTGCATTTGAGAAACCCGGCAATCGCGATAGGGTTCAAAGGTGTTCGAGTTGGATGCTACCCACCACCTTTGCTGACCGATGCTAGACCAAGAAAATCTAAGAAACAGATGTTTGTCAAGCATGGTGTCGTTTTCTGGCGCTCGTTCTGAAATCCAAATCGTAGAAGCTACAAACGTAACAAAGGGCATTGCTACTAGGAGCAAGGAAACTACTAGTAGCTCCTGGCATTATTATGTACTAGTAACAAGAAGCTACTAGGGGCTCCTGGCCGTACTTCTAGGAGCAAGGACGCTATACGAACGGGGCTCCTGGCATCGCTACTAATATGAGTTTGCACCCGAGGCCCCTCCGACCCGCCGGGCCCGCTGGGCGAGGGCGACCCGCTGGGCCTGCAGCTGCGTTCTTGGCGCCTCTCCTTCGGGTCACCTCGCTTGGTCATGGGTGCTGCGGGCACCGGAGTCTTGCTTCTCACCTCGCGCGAGGTGAGTGGTGAGAGCCTGTGAACGGGGTGGGCAGAATTTGGCAGAGGTCCCATGAAAGGCAGCAAATATTGGTAGGATAACTCAGTTCATACGAATGAAACCACAAATGTCAGTGAAGCAAGGCATAACAAGGCTGTGTTGAAGTCTTGTGTTCGCAGTGCTTTATACACATGTTTCTACCATGTGTTCAGGGTTGCTTCCAGGCCTTTCGATTGCGGCCTATGTGTTGGGAGCCTGAAACCTTCCTGGCAAGCAATGTCAAGAGTGAGGGGAGACCCAGCAAGTCATAGCCGCATAGCTGCTCACGGCTTCGCCTCGCTGGAAATTGAAGTACTGTACCCATGGCAAGAGTTTGTTGTGGACTTGGGCCTGGGTCAAGGATGTCAAGGGCTAGCTCAGTCAGCTTTACCCCAGCTGGCGGGATGGATGCCTTCAACCCTCAACGGGTAAAAGCGCAGTCCAGAGCTCCA